TTGTTGATGTTGTTGTTGTTGTTGTTGTTGTTGTTGTTGTTGTTGTTGTTGTTGGTTTTGCTGTTGTTGTTGTTGTTGGTGGTGGTGGTGGTGGTGGTGGTGGTGGTGGTGGTGTTGTTGTGGTTGTTGTGGTTGTTGTTGTTGTTGTTGTTGTTGTTGTTGTTGTTGTAGATGTTAGTGGTTATGTTGTTGTTGTTGCTGCTGGTGTTGGTGTTGGTGTCGGTATCGGTGTCGTGGGTGTCAGTGTTGGTGTTGCTGTTGCTGTTGGTGTCATTGTTGTTGTCGTTGTTGTCGTTGCCTTTGTCGTGGTCGTTATCGTTGTCGTTGTGGTAGTAGAAGTTGTTGTTGTTGTCGTTGTTGTTGTTGTTGTTGTTGTTGTTGTTGTTGTCGCTGTTGTTGTTGGTGGCGGTGGCGGTGGTGGTGGTGTTTGTTGTTGTTGTTGTTGTTGTTGTCGTTGTTGTTGTCGTTGTCGCTGTTGTTGTTGATGATGTTCTTGGTGGTGTTGTTGTTGCTGCGGTTGTTGTTGTTGTTGCTGTTGTTGTTGCTGCGGTTGTTGTTGTTGTTGTTGCTGTTGTTGTTGCTGCTGTTGTTGTTGTTGGTGGTGGTGGTGGTGGGGGTGCTATCGTTGTTGACTCTATTTCTGCTTCAGTTGTTATCGTCGTTGTCGTCGTCCTCGTTGTTGTCGTGGTCGTTGTCGTTGTGGTTGTTGTTGCTGTAGTTGTAGCGTATTTTGCTGTTGTTATTGTTTCTGTTTTTGGCTGTTATTGCGGGTGGCGGCGGCGGCAGGATGTTGTTGGTGTCGGTGTTGGTGTTGGTGTTGGTGGTGTTTGGTGTTTGGTGTTGGTGCTTGGTGGTGGTGGTGTTTAGTGGTGGTGGTGGCGGAGGTGATGTTCGGGGCAGGGCTGGGGGTGGTGGTGGTGGTGGTGGTGGTGGGTGGTGGTGGTGGTGGTGGCGGCGGTGGTGGTGGTGGGGGTGGTGGTGGTGGTGGGGGTGGTGGTGGTGGTGGTGGGGGTGGCGAGGGTGGTGGTGGTGCTGCCATTGGTTTTGGTGTTGGTGTGAGTGTGGATGTGGGTGTGGATGTTGGTTTCGGTGATGTTGCTGCAGAGGTTGCGCGTTTTGTAAATGCTGCAGATGTAGTTGCTGCTGTGCTTGCTGTCGTTGCTGTTGTTGTTATTTGTTACTGCTGTTGTTGTTGTTGCTGCGGATGTCGTTGTTTTTATTGTTGTTGTTGCTGTTGCTGTTGCTGTTGCTGTTGCTGTGGCTGTCGTCGTCGTCGTCGTCGTCGTCGTCGTCGTCGTGGTGGTTGTTACTGTTACGATTGCCGTAGTCAAGTCGTTGGTGGTCATGGTGGCGGCGCGCTTCTGTCATACCAGGAAGTGATCATCTTGACGTATTCAAAACCCTCGCCTTAAACTGAAAACCTTAACCTCTTCCCCTGAACTTCAGCAGGTCTAGGTGTATGCCCAAACCTACAATGGCTAAGGAATGCCAAGGATCTTCGGTCACTAGAAACCCGCTTGTGAGACAGGGATGCGACCGTGAATTAGCGCCGGAGACACTGTCACAGGACATGAAGATTATGCGTACTGTAGATACGGCATGTCTATATATGTCTATGTATGCATGAATACGCAGCCCAAAGTAGATGTGTGATACCAAGATGCACATACTGGCAAAGGCTTTCTGCAACAATACATTGGCTCAAGTCTGTATACTCTCGTAAAACAGTTCTCTTTACAGATACAGCATGTAAATTAACTAAAACAACCATTCTCAAGAACCGAGCTTAAGAGTACGCTTAAGTGCAGCCGTAGCCACGTCGTCTGCAGTGATGATGACTCCAGCCATTCTCAGGACGAGGGAAATCGATCCACTCCGGATGTCCGAACTCGTTGCCCATGAAGTTGAGATATCCCTTCCCGGGAACAGTGAAGCTTCATAGGGCCCAGTGCACACTCAAAGCTTAGCGCTGCAAAAGATTTTCTGGAGAACACCATCTCAGTGCTTCTGAACCATTGTAAGAAGTGGCTCTCATGCTTCTTTCTCTGCTGCCGCAGCGAAGAAAATACCATGAGAGAGTACCGCCGGCAAACATGATAGATCTCATGATGATGATGATGATGATGATGGATATTGGCAACTGCGCTTCTTTCAACAGCACTCTTGAATCTTCTGCTATTCGAGATGCCTCGCCGCCGAGAGCGAGGACCAGTAGTCGGATCATCTTATGCAGCCTAAGGATGCGAGAAAACGGCCTTGAGGCCGCCTGGGACCCGTCTGAGTGACTGACGCAAGGCCACGATCCACACACATTGAGGGTTGTGGACTTGTGAAGACGCTCATGCCGGTGTACCTCGGAAACTTATGCGGAAATTCAGGCAGAGAGACTGGCGCAGCTAACAGGCGAAGGTCACATTTCGGCGTCCATCAGCCAGAAAGCGAGCGTCTTGTCACCTACAATGGCCTGACACATGCGCACAGACTTCAGACAACACAGCTGGAAAAGTCACGGGGACAAAACTTGAGGAAACACTTGTCAAAGCCTGATCATGTGACTCGGCGTAGGCGATGACCTTGCGGCATCAGGATGCACAGTGCGCCAGACTGCTGCATGATTTGTTGGAGTGGCCTTCTCCATGTATCTGCGGTTGGTCAAAGTGTGCACGATGTGTCCCATGTTCCACCCGTCGTCGGTGCACTGGCGCGAACGAAAGTCAAGAAAAGCCAACCGCTTGGAACAAATGCAAGCAGCAAGCAGCAAGCAGCTTCGCGCCTCTTTCAAGTACCTGTGTGTGTGCAAAACATGCAGAACTGTGCTGAAATCTCTCGCGTCTGGCGTGCTTCTATCCGGCACCTCTACAGTACAGATACTTGCCTTCAAGGCTCTGGCAGACCCTACAGAACATGCAAGTCACTAATCATGCTCCAACAACATGCAAAGCAATTAATCCCGCAATGTCACTTAATGAACATATCCGGAATGGCCATGGCCAAGCGATAGTCGAATCCTCGGAGCCCACTCTGCGAGTTTGGGAACAGCCAGACTGGCTGTTGTTAGTCAGGGGCAAGGACTTACGGCTTGGGCTTTAAGGGACATTTTGGGGTTCGGGGTTACGATTCAGAAAGAACTGTGACCGTGTGAAAACCACTTCCGATAGCCCTTGCCTTCCCTCCTCCCGGAACTCGACATCAGCGAACATCACAAAGCAAGGGAACCGAAACCCTAAACAGTAGTCGGGTCCTTAAAACACAAAAGGCCCCCACCAAGGGCTACCTAATTAATAGGACCCCCCCCCAGTCAGGAGCAATGAAAGGGATCTGCCGACCAAGCAGTTCGCTCCGGGGGGTGTGGGGGTTTCTTGTAACGGGCCCTCTGGGGATTGTTGTGGGGGATACTATAAGGGTTGGGTATAGAATCCTGAACATAACCCCCGACGCCCTATGAGATATTATGAGATTAACCCTAGGCCCTGAACATCAGAACCTCGAACCAAAACCCTAAACCCTAAACCGCACCCTCGACCCGGTTCAGCAATTCTCACAGACTCGAGCTCCGAAGCCCTGAGTCAATGTAGGAATCCACGGGCCGTGAACACGGAGTCGCTTTTCGAGGCGCCTACATCAATAGAATTCGGTTTTGGGGTACGAGTATATTGTCGTATATGTATAACCATATATAGAGACTGGAAGGCCATACAACTACGAATTATTCAATCCCCTTTAGTACGATAATACTACTATGGAGGTAGAACGGCACGATCATCGTAACATAATCGCATTTGTATTGTAACATGTAATAGGGGTACTGTAGCAGTCGTAGTACCACCGGGACATCATGCTGTTGCCATACCAACCCAATCAAAACACTCCATAATACATAATACTAAAGAACGAACATGGCAACAGGTCAAGTACGAATTGATGCTGAACATCATCCCTTTCATCGCCCATGTCAGGCACAAAGTCGTAAACATGCAAGTCTTTCAACCCCCGTTAACATCCCCCAAAAAACCTGGAGCCCTAAACCTAAATCCTAGACCCTCAGTCCTAAGTCCTCATGACCCTAAACCCTAAACCCTAAACCCTACCTAGACCCTCAACCCTACCTAAACCCTAAACCCTAAACCCTACCTAAACCCTAAACCCTAAACCCTACCTAAACCCTAAACCCTAAACCCTACCTAGACCCTAAACCCTAAGTCCGAAGATCCTAGACGCCGGCCCTAAACCCTAAACCCTAAACCCTAAACCCTGAACCCTGAGCACCGGACCAAAGCCTCCCCAATCCACCGGCAAACACAAGGTCGGCATACCGCTCACGTCCTCTTGCAAAAGTAGGTAGTACAGGGGCCTTAAGAAACAGAGTAGGGTTTGGGGGTTCCTTTAAAGGGTTCTATCAAGGGCTACTATAGGGGTTTCGGGTTTAGGGGCGTTAAGAATTAGAATAGGGTTTTGGGGCCCCTTCTACTAGGATTATGATAAGGAACCCCCCAAAGTAGTAGAGGTGATTATATTTAGGCCCCTACAGTATAACCTAAACCCTAAACCCTAAACCGTTAGTATACTGCGGCAGGATGGAAGTTTGACCTACTCGTCCTTTCGTCGGACACCGGCCCCAATTCCCCCCCCGTAGAATCCCAACAAACAGGACCCATGGGGCACTCCTCCGGAACATTAACCCTAACCCCCCCAGGTACCTACTATATAGGGTGCTAGAGCCCCTAGGGCCCTATATAGTAGGTACCTGGAGGGTTAGGGTAAAGTCAGAAAGAAATACAATTTCCTGTCGAGGCATAGGATACTCCGCCAGGCGTCGTGATTCCAGCTTCCCGGCACTCCGCTACTCCACTCCGCAAGACGTCTTAAGAAGACAAGAAACGTCCAATAGGTCAAAACTTTTGTTCTCCCGATGTAGGGCCTGGGGTTCAGGGTCTTGGGTATGCATCCATGCATGCATGCATGCATGCATGTCCGTATGTACCTATGTGCGAATGCATGTATGCACGTATGTATGGTGTGCATGTGTCTGTGAGTGTGTCTGTACGTAATGTCTGTGTATATACGTGTATGGATATGAACGTGTACAGGTGTGTATGACGTATACATGTGTATATAGATAGATAGATGCATACATACGTACATTCATATATATATATATATATATGTATCTTTGCCTGCTCCTTAAGTTGAAACTGAACCGGCTCGTCAAGTGAAGTGAGTAACACGTGACCGCGAGTGTCCGAACGCGTGTCCTCGCCAACGGTCACTGCTGAAGGGACGATACGATGGATGAGGTCGTTTGCCAACATGAGGTAGATGTGGCCTCAGTCTCATCTGAATGTTACTACAACATTTACCGTCATGGATATTATGCAGTGGTAGTAGCAGTAGCAGCAGCAGTAGGACTAGTAGTAGTAGTAGTAGTAGTAGTAGTAGTGGTGGTGGCGGTAGGGGTAGAAAACTGAAAGTTAGTCGATGATTCGGTTGGATACGGAACTACTTGAGATCCAAGGATCGGTAAATCCTGAAATTCCAAAAGTTTTTGTAAACGCCTGCAGCTGGTGAACAGGATGGATGGGAGCTAGGATTAGGGGGACCCTTGGGGATATAGACCCTCTCAATAAGGTCCCTTTTAAGAGAGCCAAAAGTAGGGTTCAGAAGGGGTACCCTTTAAGAGGTACCCCTAATACTACTACCTAATGGAATGGTGAGGATTTAAAGCGTTCTCGGCCTCCTGATAAGGAAAGTTCTCACCGCGAAACCTTGACCGCTAGACACACGAAGAGCATCTGATGAAAAAAAAACTAAAGCAGACTGAACCATCTTAGAAACCAGACTGACTCGGCAACCCAAAAACACATGGATTTCTGCAGCGGCTGGCCAACATAACGAAAATATCTTCTGACTAAGTATCTGTGCAATGAAGCTGTTCGTTAATATGAAAGGACCTATTAGTTCCGGTGACTTAAGTCATCCGTGATTGCTTAGTCAAGTTTGTTCTTTCGTTCGACTCCTTTAAGTCGTTCATCATTCGTTAACCATTAAAGCTGCTGCAGAAATAGTTGCGGTCGCTAGTCGCCACATCATGTCTCAAAGCTCGAAAACTCGCAGGCGGTGATGACGTGTGCAGCCAAGGGGCTGTCGATGTCCGCATCGGGACCGAAGTACTCGTGGTAGCCACCTGTATAGCCCTTGCCGATGCCATGAGACTGGTACCTAAGCTTGCGTACACACACACACACACACACTCGCAAGGACGCACACAGCATGCACGAGCAGCTTCGATAAAAGCATTCCTGCGCTCGTCCGTAGCGCGTGTCCCAGGCCCATCGCTGCTGAATTTGGCGAAAGTGCAACATCGAAGTGATTCCATCAAATCGGAAGCCATCGAACTGGTACTCCTCGAGCCACCACTTCACGTTCGAGAGAAGAAATCGCAGAACCTGAAGACACATTTGCGATACAGTACGGATCTGCGAGACCAAAACAGGTACAGTGGCCAACCGCCCCCCCCCCCCCCCNNCCCCCCCCCCCCCCCCCCATGCCTCGTACTTGAGGTAGTTGAAGATCTTCGAGTCCCACTCGGAATGATGGCCCTGCAAGTAACATACACGTGCGGCAGTCCAAGAGGGAGGCTAGATAACCTGCTGGCGCTAACGCCCGGCATGATGGATGACTCCTGGATGACTGTAGAGAGACCGTTGTAGCACAAGCTTGTATGTCGAGCTTGCAGATTGCTTGCTACCGTCACAAACCCCCTGCGCCCAGTGAGTCACTGGGAAGCATTCTCTCAAACTCCGAAACTCGGTTCAACAGTGACATGACTTCACGACAAAGTCGGCACCTTCGGGCCGCCATGGGTGTAGCAGTGATCTGTGCCATCCATCCTGATTCAGACTCTCATGGGACTGCTCCAAGAACCCTATCACGATGGGTCACACGTATCTTCCTCATCCACATCCACATCCTTCATCATCCGTTGTCGTCGTCATCATCATTTGGCCGTGCGGATACTGCTGGCACGCCCAGTGCGGTTTCCTTGAGAAGCATGGTTGACTGTAGACTGCCAGTGATACCGATGCCAGTCGAATGTCGTCTTGAATCTTGCTTTTCGCCTTGACAAGCGAAGCAGATGTGCAGGATGCCGTGGGATGCCATAACTTTACATGTTTCCACACTGTTTGCTTGTGTGTACATATCTGTTGTTATCTATTCAAGCGTCTGTTTATAAAAGCATGTGCATGTATACACATATTTGTTTATGTACATTTATACGGGTATGCAATGAGTGTACCTGTGATAATTTGATCTTGCTGGACAGGACTAATCAGTACATATTTTGTCTGTGTGTGTGGGTGAATATGTGTATACATATGCATGTATGTGTGTATATATATATATATGTATGTATGTATGTATGTATGTATGTATGTATCTATGTATGTATGTATGTATGTATGTATGTATGTATGTATGTATGTATACATATGCATGTATGTGTATATATATATATATGTATGTATGTATGTATGTATGTATGTATGTATGTATGTATGTATGTATGTTTTTTATAAATAGATGAATAAATAATATATATATATATATATACACACATACGTACATATATATATATATAATGTGTACATACAGTACAACATACACAGGAATGCACGTACATCTAACTAGTCTACACTATTCTACACTTGACTTGGTGCCGGAGCACGGGTACACTACAGGAAGGTATGCACTAGAGCTAAATATGCTAAGCATGGTTGCCGCTTCGAAGTTTAACCGTCTCGGGGAGTCGCTGCGGCTGAAACTTGTAAGTCTTCGCAACGTGCAGCGTGCACAAGCCTCGCGCACAGAGTCGTAGCAATCCGTGGCTTCAGGACCTGCAGGACCCTGCCAAGGACGACTTTTCCTCACTCCGGCACCCCTCCTCGTGTCTCAGAATCTCAGAGTATTCAATGGTTTTCCTGCTTCACGTCGGCAGAGGAAGGCTGATCAGGTCCTGTCTGGGATGAACACTTCGCCAGTCTCTGCTGCAGCTTTTCCCGGATATGCTCCGTAGCACAGAGTTGGAGGCCTGTTTCGCAAGCTTTTCGCGCTCCTTCATGATCGCCCATGTTGAGACGGCATTGGGCCTCGTTCGCCAACAGCAGCGCACTCTGATGCCCTTGAACACCTGCTTTCTCACAGGTTGCACGAGCCCCCGCCCAACAAGCCAGAGCTTCCTTGTGCTTTGCTTTCTTGAAGTGTGTGTTCCCCGTTTGCTTCAGCTCTTCGGCAGATTCGCCATCCTGGAGAAGAGCTGTCATCTCCGCGTGCCCTGTATGGTAGGCATAGTGGAATGCCTTCGCCCCGTTCCGGTCACTCGCCTTGACATTGGCCCCTGACTCGAGCAAGCGGATGGCCACCTGTCGGTGGTTTCTTTCCGCAGCCATCATCAAGGCGGTGGATGCATTCGCCGTCTTGTGGATCCTTGCATCTGCTGCATTGGCATCTGCCCTTGACCTCAAAAGCAGGTCCACCACCTCCAGCTGTCCTCCTTTCGATGCCGCCCGGAGTGGTCGGCCAGAGTTCTCGTTCACATCAGCGCCAGCTTCAAGAACCAGCTCCACCATCCTCTTGCGACCGTCAAACGCAGCAACAGCAAATAGGCCATCGCACACCACAGGAATCTCGAACGTAAGCCCAGCGGTGACCGAGCCATCCAGAAGCGGCCGCAAAACCGCAGCATTGCCTTCGGCGATGCTCTGCAACGTGTCCATGGCTTTTGACACCAGTGTGTGCGGCAAGACCGGATCCATTGCAATCTTTCCCACAGCAGGGACGGCGCCCCCAGCCCGGCAGCCAAGTTGCGCCAAAGCTGACAAGCCTTCAATCTGCTTTGCCTGTTTCTTGCTTTCCAACAGCTTCGTGGCAGGCTCCATGTCCACAGTCAGCGTCAATGCAAGGTGCTGGCAAAGCACTGGCACCTTGCAAGCGTCAGCCAGGTGAGCCTGGATCTCTTCAATTGTCGTCCGTGGATGTGCCTCCACTTGAAAGACATCACCGGAAATTGTGTGCACGTCCAACTTCATGGCTCGAGTTCCTTTGTCCCCGAGGACGTAGTTAGTCCCACGGTTCTGGGCACCGTTCTGGCATAAGTGGTTAGCACGACTGGGGTACGGCTATGGTGCTACAATGCTGTACTCCTCTAGCCAGAATAAGACCATGCAATACATGGTAGGCATGGAAAAACACAGTCGACGACTGCCCTCTTGCTTGCATTGTGCCATCCGGCCCGGACTGAGAGTCAACTTTAACACAAATGAGCACGGATCTCAAGATATGCCGGTAGCAGCTTGGGGCTTAGGGTGGATGGGGTCCGCCAGGTGCTGACGTTACATTCTTGTGGATCCGCAACTGCCAGTATCGCAAGGGTCAGACAGGTCAGACATGACATGTTTATGAACTAGTGGACTTTGTGCGCCAAGCATAACGCAGAGAGAGAGAGAGAGCACATGCATAGACCTTTTGTGTCTTGCTCGTCTTCTTTCGCTCTCTCCCCGTCTCTCTCCTCCTCCCCGGCTCTTCTCTCGAACAAGGTCGGTCTCAGATCCCAAAAAATATCATTGCCGAAGTTCTGGGCGATTCCGTCCAGAGTGTTGGAGGATGCGTGGGCGTGCACAAGGTCCATAAGCACCTGGCAACACACACTCACAGAGGAAAAATCCCATGATAATGAGAACAATCCTGGGCAACCCAGCACCACCCGGTCGAAACTCCTTGAATCGCCGCTAGAGCTCCGTGCTTCGAGCCTGAATGCCCAAGCCGTGCGCAGTATCAATCAGGTATTTCAGCTCCTCGAGAACGTCTTGGGAAGTCAAGGGGTTGGGAAATTTACGTTGTCGCTATAATATGGATGTAGGCACTCTAAACCTCAACCCCCGAACGGATGCCTAAGCCCGGAATCTGGAAAAGCTTGAGGGGTGCTCATGTTCGCACGAAGGCGGCGCCAAGATTGTAGTCTAACAAAGCAGTCTAAGCTGTTTCAGGAATCTAACTCCTGCAACCGTATTGGAAGCAGATACAATTCCTATCAGCCCTGTCAGAATCTGCAGATCCGCAGGCAGCAAGAGCCGAAATGACAATAATCGCCACATGGGAGTTTCCAAAAATTCGGGGTACCTTACTCTGGGGTCCTTATAATAAGGATCCTACCAATTAGGGTACTATATATGGGTCTCCATGGCTGTGATGGAAAACAGAGCCAGCAGGTCACAGTCTTCTGGTCGAGTAAGGGTTTAGGATTTAAGAAATCATAGCCTGACCTCCCAGGTACCTACTACATAGGGCCCTTAGGGGCTCTAGTACTCTATATAGTAGGTATCTGGGGGGTTAGGGGTAGTCATGGAAACTCAACGCCCCACAGGCTGCGAACCCTGATCCAGCTCCTCAGGCGTTCCTTGCCGGCTGGCAGGAGCAAAGAAAGATGTCACATGGTAGCCAAAACAGCCTGGGAAGTTGCGATGATTTGTTCTACTCCTGTTGTCACTATCAGGGTGGCTCAAAGTGTTGGCTGTTCCGCACGTTGGTGAAATAGTAGTGTCAAGTTGAGGCTACCTCTTACACATAGTTTCCTGCACTTATTACCACAGCTTGTCCTGTTTCCAGCTGCATAAAAGCTTCGACTCGATTCGTCCTTCTGCTTCTCACGATCACTACTACCATCCTACCAGTGAAGAATCTCGGGTAAGGCCGGTCCTTCCAGAAACGGTGGACATGGAGTTCAAGAGCTGGCTTTGCAAGTCAGCTCGTGCTGAAAATTTGCTTGTCAGTGTTCGTCGTCGTGGCAGTGGTCGTTCTAGTACGAACGCTAGCAGGAGTAGTAGAGTCAGCAGCAGGAGGTCTTTGGCAATGCAAGCGGCCGTAGTGCGCATGCTCGGCAATTGCCATGAGCTGCACGGCGTTGTAGCCCATTCCTGAGAGCACAAGCCCGCTTGAACAGGCTCAAAGCGCCCTATTTTAAAGTGACCCCTGTATTCTCCGACTCAGCTCTGTCGCTTGATGTGATTATCTTTTGACCGATGGTTGCATGATGGTAGTGGTGCTGGTGACCAGTGCTGGCTACGATTGGTAGTGCATTTCGTGGTCAGCACTACAGTTATTAGTGCGAGACGAGTACGTGCATGACCACGGGACGAGTCTTTGCATGACCGTTGTTAGACCATGAAACCCAGAACCAGAGGCCCGGAACCCCTAAAAGACTCCTTCATCAAAGTGTGCTACCAAGTAGAGACAAAGCCCTGAAGCCGTAGCAAAACTTATGGACTATGTCTGCCTCCCTATCCCGCAGGCACACGTGCACATACTTCTTGCATGTATCTAAACCTACAAGAGAACCCTTAACCTCAAACCTTAGACCCCAATTCCCCAAACCCTGAACCCTAGAACCCTAAGCCCTAAAAACCCCAGCCCCCAAAGCCTCTATAGTAACCCTTATCGTAGTAGCCCTCATGGAAACACCTCTTAGTAGCCATTAAGGGGGACCCCATTCTAGTACTCACTTTACTATACCACCCTTTTAAAGGACCCAGAGAGCCCAATACCCCCTATAATTAAGGACTATACCTCAAATCATAATTTGAAGGCCCCTATAATTTGAGGTATATTCCTTAATTAAGGGGTATTGGGCTCCCTGAAGCCCTAGAAACGCCCCAAGAACCGGGGGCCCGGCGCTTGATCCTTGGCAGCACCGTCTCTGCAAACTCCACGTACGTGGCGACTTTCGGCTCGACGGAGCCCATCCCGACCTGAAGCTTTTGGGGGTTTAGGGGCTCAGGGCTTAGGGGTTTATAGGGCTTAGGGTTTGGGGTTTCAGGGTTTAGGGCTTGGGGTTTAGGGTTTAGGGCTCAGGGCTTAGGGCTTGGGGCTTAGGGCTCAGGGTTTAGGTCTCAGGGCTTTTAGGGCTTGGGGTTTATAGGGCTTAGGGTTTGGGGTTTGAGGGTTTATAGGGTTTAGGGTTTCAGGGTTTAGGGCTTGGGGTTTAGGGTTTAGGGTTTCAGGGCTTAGGGCTTGGGGTTCAGGGCTTGGGGCTTAGGGCTTTGGGCTCAGGGCTCAGGGCTTGGGGTTCAGGGCTTGGGGTTCAGGGCTTCGGGTTTAGGGCTTAGGGTTTTAGGGGCTCAGGGAAGCTTTAGGTTTTGGGTGTTATAGGGCTTTCGGGGCTTAGGGTTTTAGGTTTAGGGCTTGGCCCGGTTGCCCGAATCCCGCCAGTACTTGGCTCTGGTCGTGCTCGCGTTGGCCTGGTGTCTCCTGCTGGTCTCCGCATGGTGTGTTTTGGTGGTCTCTTGGTCGTCTCCTTTTGATCTCATCGCGATCCAGTTTGTCGCTTTGGAGGTTTAGTGGGCAAGGGCTCAGGGGTTTCGAGGGTTTGGGGGCTTAGGTGGTTTGTAGGGGATGAAGTTTAGGAGGCTTGTGTTCTTCAGATGCCCTTTTGCGCTTTTTGCTTGGAGGGGGGGGGGGCAAATCGGAAGACAAGGGTTTGTTGTAACGCAAAAATGGTCAGGACGGACCCCTAAGGAATAGTCTTCCTGGGTAGTCAAACCCATATATTGAGAAGATTGCTGCGCGACCGCTGCTCTTGCTAATGTCGCTGTTGATAGCCTGGCGTCTGTTGGGCTGCTGGCTGTGTGGGGAGTTCCGAAAATAGGTGACCCTAATATAGTACCCTAAATAATAGGATCTCTATTATAAGGACCCCCAAATAAGGTACCCTACTTTTCTGAAACTCCCATGTGCGTCTCGTTCGGCTGCAGCAAGGAGCTCAGTCTACTGTGGGATCGACGAGTCTTTGCACTGAATCCTAAATGCCTGAAGCCCTCACCCCATCAACCCTAACCCTAACCCCCAGGTACCTACCATATAGGGTACTAGAGCCCCTAGCGCCCCATATAGTAGGTACCTGGGAGGTTAGGGTAATACATTCATCCCTCTTAGACTTGAGCCCTACACTTTACTAGGCCCAGCAAGTAACTGCGACATCTTAAAGTCCGTACAAGTATTGTAGACATCTACTCAGGCTCAAGGCTTGAAGGGAGTTGGTCTCCACCGTTAAAGGGGACCCCACTATATAGTACCCTTAAAGCGCACCCTGTTCTAGTACCCTTAAAGGGGATCCTATTATAGTACCCTAGACCCTACAGGTCTAGGGCTGAGGGCTTAGGGTTTAGGGTTTGGAGTTTTTTCGGGTTTAGGGGTTTGGGGGTTTGGGTTTAGGGCTCAGGGCTTAGGGCTTGGGGTTTAGGGCTCAGGGTTTGGGGTTTCAGGGTTTAGGGCTTAGGGCTTCGGGTTTAGGGCTTAGGGTTTTTGGGGGTTTTGGGGGTTTCGGGTGTCTTTGGCTGCAGTGTTGTTGT